GCTCGCTTAGGCCGAACGTAGAGGTTACATTTTGTTTTGCTCCTGTGCGCAGGTCCGGCTACCATATAAGTCCTAAGTAAGATCGTTGTGTCTCAGGTTTTCTTTGGTTGAACTGTTTGGTGAAACTAATAATTTACACAACTAAATTTCATTGACATCTTTATTCTCTATTTGTATTCATCAATATTGACAGATTCCGATAAATCCGAGTTTGTTTCTGTCCACAGCTGATAGATAGAGAAAGTGTTCCGACTTGTAAACCTATGTGCTAGAGGTTTCGGTTGTAACACTGCGGCACGCCTAGATCGATTTTTTGCCAGTTGATCCCTATTGAATATAGAGCGATGCCTCTTTAACCATTTGGCATAGGGGCCCAATTTTGTTACAAACCCTAAGGGCTACAAATTGGAAACCGTGGTTATATTTAGAGATTACGTGGACACCACTGATTTCGACTGGCTTACCCTCAATGTGCCTGGTCGAAACTGTGCGTTGAGATTTTCGAATTTCTATACCCACGTGCGATTCCTAGTGAAACCTCTCACGGTATCTGAAATGAATATAAACCCCCTTAAATATTAGTGGAGTATGTTTGTATCGTAAAGTTGCTACAGACTGTATCGTCATTGGTAGCGATGTTAATAAATTGCTACCCTAGCATGATAGAGTCCCCAACCAGGCTTGAAGACCCCCAATTTAAAGATGTATGCCATTGTTGGCACTTGATTGTATGCTGAAGATGAAATACACAGTAGATTTACCGTTACTAATGACACTCACTGATACTAACACGCTGATCACAATCTGAAAGAATTAAACATTATGTTTTACATATATTTTTTACATACCTTTTTTGACATGCTATTACATTAATTCGGGACGCATTGTGTGATAGTAATTTTTCACAGTAAAAATTTGAATAGATATAAACAAAACTTATGTATTTACAAAATAGAATGTAAACCTATAAATTAACAGCCCAGATAATAAAATACTCCAGTACAAAATATTCAACCGTACACACGTACTGGACTGAAGTTGAACGTATTGAAACTCAGAATATGGACAAGTACATCCAGTACAGGATAGGCAATTGGAACTTTATTCTATTATAGATATATATATATATATCCTTTTTTGTCGTTTGTCCTCTTTTTTTCATAGATTAGCTACGAAACTTCTATTTCAGACAAAATTAAAGTAGGATACATGCTTTTTATTCCTATTTTCAATTATATAATCACAATGCAATCTACTAAAGCAAAAGTCATCTAAAGGTGTTTCAAAATATGCACATTTCTCGCAATGAATTAGCACAAACTTCATAGTTTGCTATTACGATTCCGCAATCTGCGTCTTGTGCAGATTTGTGGTCGACGTTCTTGAAATTAGCGATTACTCTATAGATCAAAATTTTGAACGAGTGGTTTTCGTAATTAGTCGAGGAAACAGGCCCTCTAATGTCGTGCTTTTCTCTAAGACCATTTAATGACCCCAATCGGTATTACCGCACACAAAGATAGAGCTCAGAACAACGGTGAAGTCTGCCGAGAGAGGCACGTAAGAACTTACTCAATGCATCGAACTTATATGTAAACGATTATTTTCTAATAAAAATGCAATGACATTGGATTGAAATAATTGTGCAAATGCATACTTCGGGCATTATAGCAGATGAACGAAGCATATGGCCGGTGCTTCTCGCCGCTGAGTAATGGAATTTTATTATGACTATATGAGCAGGAATGCATTATAATATTAACGGTCCGACTATGGTTGGAAGGAACGGAGTAACTTGGCTTATCTGAGTCGAGCAATACCTATGTAATGCCCTAAACAGAGGTTCCAAACATGGCCAATTGCCATTTGTGAAATTCCATATAACAGATGCTAAAAAGTGAAATTTCGATTCTTTACTGGGCGCAATCCAGTTCACCCTTCCAGGACGTAAGAAAAATGCGCTCAGACTTGTCTGATTCATGATCATTTGGGCTGCCTTGTTTTTAGCTGCAAACAAAACCTCACTGTCCTCATCCCAATACAGTGTAATACAGAAATGTAATAAAAGTGGCGCTTCGCTGTAACACGACTTCGTTCAAATTATAAACTCTGCACACTTAATTAACTTTTCTTGCTCATCATTATATCTTTGTTTTGCGGTGTTAATCCAATCAAAGTGGCATAGTCTTCCAGAAGAAGTCGTAGTTGGTATATTTCGCAAGTTTTACTCTCGAGACAGAACGAAGTGTCATTCTTTCTTGGCTGAACTCATTGCGTGGTACTGCCTACTTTTGCTGAGATCTTGAAATATCACAAAAGCCAACTGGGGTTGCTGGTTCGAGGCACGAAATCGCTGTGTAGCACACTACATTATTTATAGTAAAGTATTTATTTATTATAAACAACGCCAGCTGACTTTTCCGACCGAGCTATTCTGTTGGTAAAAAATGAAATAGCCTGCATGAATCCGAAGATAGATATAGACATAGAAGCTGTCCTACCAGAGACGTACTTCGCTAGAAAACCTTCAACTTTTTATTTAACATTTAGGATACACATTTGGTGTTGGTGGTTTTCGTCCATGCCATCGTTACGTCGTTATCTATGTCGCCAAAAGAAAGTAGTCACAATTGCGTGTGAACCTCAGGCAATGCTTATGTTCCAATATTATTTTTCGTTGCCTCGTGCGATATTCGACGAATGCCTTGCCATAAACGATAAGCTCTAATGATTTACACTCTGGATAATCGTGTTAGTCCAAAAGTCCCGCAGATGTTTGGTTCGCAGCACACGATATACTTATGTAGATCTATCTATCCGAGTTTTACGTCCGGCATCCCCGTTAGGGATTCCAATAAATGACTAGTTTTCCGCACGGAACAAAGTATGTCTATGCTCGAATTCGAACCTTGATTACGACGTGTCCCTAAAAATAGCACGCAAATGTGTTACCCATTAAGGTATCACGGAAACCCTTATCGAGAATCTGTATGAGGTTGGCGTGAAACGGGCCTATTCCATACTGTTTGGTAGAGGTGTTTACTTTCGTACCAAACGTGCAGAATTTTCTTATGAACAACACGTAGAGGCAACTTTTTAAGGGAAAACGGTAGCTTCCTTAATTCCTTGTCAGTATCGGAAAATTGAGAACGTTGAGCACAGAAATGGGTGGATCCATGTTTTGCTTGTAGGCAAAAACGGCCTATAATAATACCCTGAGTGTGAAAGCGGATCGTTTATATAATATACTACGCTAGCGAAAAAGCAATACATTATGAACGCAATTCCGATTTCACTTTTAGATCTATCGGGCCCGTCGGATTTTGACTTAACTTGATATTCGATGTAACTATAATTAAAGGTGTATTGACCAACACCTGCTACACGGAGTGGTCGTCGAATATTTCGCTTGTTCAGGCATCTGTAACCATATGATTTATCTCCATGATTTTTTCTTTTCGTCTGTCTATGGACCTGTAACCCCGATTATCAGGTCACGTGCCCTGCCTTTCGATGAACTTGAGGTGAAATTTTCAATTACCTAACTAAAGTTCTCCTGGATTTTGGGCTATGCCTAACCTTTTACCTACAGAATAGAAGACTAATGTTGGGTCTATGTGACTAAAACAACACACAGCACTGGACTCGCCATGGTCAGTTATTCAACAGAACAGTTAACCAGCTTTGCTCAAATCCTACCATATTCTACAAGTTTTGTAATATATTTCTAACAATAATTATTCCTGGACGCGAGCTCTTAGTGAATTGTCCGCACTTTTTGATTAGGCAATAAATGATTAACTTGATTTTTTTTTGCGCTCCCTGAATAATAATTATCCTTGGTTGGAGTAGCTTAACTTTTGGTCGAAGTGCCAGTAATCGTCAGTTCCAGCCTCGTTACTACTCTGATGTGCATACTGCATTGTATGTGTGATTAAATAAAGAAAACCTTTGGACCATATTGACGAGCAGTGACAATTAAAAGCATGTATTTGCTGAAGTGTCAGGTAAAACGTTGCCTAGAATATACGAATGTATAAATTGATAATCAATTTCATGGAAAGCCAAATATGGGCAATCTACTATCTACCTGTATACAAAGTTGAAGAAAACGCAGGAGCAAGCACGGGCGACTCCGCAACAAAACGTCACCATATGCCTTTTTGGTTGAAATGGCTGATGCCCTCAATGGGGTTCTTTTTATTTTCAAGCTAACATTATGTTGTGACGTCTTGTAAATCAGAATCGAGAAAATCGCCTTCCCTCCAGTAGCCTAAAAACACCGTTTTAATCGATGCGAAGTCTATGTCGCGATCAACAGACCTGTTGATATAAAATAGGGACAAATTTAAGGTTGTCATTTCAGCGAGGACCTCTGGGTTGGAAAACTTACTGTCAGAATTTTTCTCTTTTTTTTCTTTGTTAAAATGATCGATGACCTTGTTCTACTATCGTGTCATCGCGAACAGAAGCAAAGCTGAAATATGCGATCTTTGGGCCAAAACGACTGTTGCCCGAATTTTACGTCCGGAACTGCCAATAACCACTGCTTCAGACGACTCGCTTCCAACTGGAAACAAAGTATGTCTCCACGCGGTTTCGAGCTGGTGATCCTTGAGCTTGGATGCCAGGCATCCAGGAATGTAAGGCGTCCTGTATATTTATCCAATAAACGTTGGTGTTTCTGAAGGTTTTCAAACCAATTCGGTTTTCAAAATTATCGAAAGTAAGTCCATCGTACTTTCACTGTATTACTGAGAGAAGGATTTCCTTCACTAAAAACGTTAAGTAAATGCGAACAACCTTACCGTTCCTAGCATTGTTCACAAATCATCGAAGTAATCTAATGCATCAAATATATATCCGTGGACGTCCTGCTGTCCGACAAAGCCTGCGTTCGATTAATATCTATAAAAGTTCAATGTTTGCTCTTAGACTACAATATCAATATCGACTGAATGGTGTATTTAGAATAAAGGATGTGAACGATAGTCTTGTTCCAAATCCTGAATAGGTTAATTTCAAATTTATTTCATAACGTATTGTCGCTTAGAAGACTTGCAGGGATCGTGCTTGAGTAGCGCCCATATCCTGTTAGCTCCAACAAACTGGCTTTACCAGGGAAATCTCCCAGGTGAAAGTCGGGTATTTTAATGACGGCTACTCGCACCTGCAGAATGAACGTTTTTCAATAAAAACCTGTTTTGTGGACTACGATCGTGGAACCAAAAGTAAAGATGTCAAGTCGACGAGTTCTCGCAACAAGCTAATCCTTTGATCATTTAAAAATACAGCAATACACATAGCGTGGGGCAGCAGTGTTTGTCGGACTTTCATCAAAGTTTCTTGACAAATAATAGACGCATATGTATGTTATACAAATGAAAATCAAAGACTGTCAAGAGACTTCCTCTTCACCCTGCATACAATTGCTATATGTACATAAAACTGACGAACAGGTCATGTATACATCCTTAGTTCAGGGTCATTAGAGAGAAGCCTGCGGCTGACTTAAAAAGTAGGTTTGAATAGTGGAACGCGGGTTTATTACACAGATTTTAAGGCATCTTTGAGTGTTGTAAGTCGTCTATAACTGGCTATGTCAAACAGCTTGACGAAAAACATTATTAGCGCATTGTTTTTACGATTAATGACAGGAAATAAACCAAAAAAAAAAACTGCTACGAACAACACGAGAAAAACGCCACTGAATAGTTATCGTTACTATATCTGACGGACATTCATGTCACAAATTGTGTTTCATACAAATTCAAAATCTCCCACGCCCGTTCATTCTAACAAAAATCGACGCGTTCCTGACCACATTTCGGCCGTAGCGTGATGAAACAGGCTTGTCATTCCTTTATGCCTAGGTACGGCTGATAATAGGCAACCAGCATGATTCCTGTGACAACTGCTCCTAGGAAGATAACCGCAAGGATTACGGCCCATCTCCTAAAATAGGGCGCCAAAGGATTAGACTGTATATCATTTTTTATAATTCTAGTATTTTCACAAAAAATATATAGTAATATGTAGAACCATTACCAGTAATTATAAGGGGTTCCGCTATCGAACGCCAAAGGTTATATCGTAGATAGTATTAATTAATCCAAGGATTTCGCACATCGGTGCCTTATGGGTAAATGAATTTTTTTTCTTGAACTCCTTTTTAATTACTGGACATATGACCACATTGTAGAAAAGTTTTAATCGATCTCCTACCGTAATCTTATTGGAATGGTCGAGCAATATTATTAATTTTTTAATTTTAAAAAATTTAATCTATGCTCTAGGTTGATTCAGTGAGTTGTCATCTACTAACAATAGATTTGTATCAGGCATTAGGCAAGCCATTGTGGAACAACGACTAACATGGCAGGTATACTCTTTTATCTCTAAAATATATTTTGTATTTTAGCTTATTATAGATACCCTCACAGATGATAATGATGATACACGAAACCAAGCTACAAGTTTTTTAGCTGTCAACCGCAATATTTGAATTGAGTAGTAATTAAATAAAACGATCTGAAGATGCCTGTAACTTTTTTGTGTCTTTGATTGGATGGGCTCTGAATCTGTCGTCATATCTATATGCATTCGCCCAGTGACAGACATTTGGCAAGATCTTCTAGACATAAAATAAAAACGTTTTCAGACACTTACTCATCTAGACGCGGAGGCTCACGTTCTCTATAGCGAGTGTAACCGGGACTTTCTCTGCAACTGTTAAGTGTTCGTTCCTTAGTAATTAATATTGGTCGAATTTATCTACCTTCATTATTTAATGCAATTTTAGAATTATGTTGGATATTAAACTTTGCTACAAAACAATATGCCTGCCATCCCTTCAATAGAATCTTCACATGCTACAACAATGAATGTCACAAGAGCGGCATACAATTTTGTACGCAACAACATTGAACGTATAACGATAGGAAAAACCCTTGATTACATAATAATTATCCTATCGTAGCTAAAAGTCGATTTACCATGTGTCGGGCTCTGATTTCGCAGTGAGATATTGTGTAACGGTCTCGTTTTCATAGTTCAACGGTACAGTTTCAAACGATTTCTTCTTTGGCACCTTAACGCTGAAATCAAAACGTGCGCAACTAAGTTAATATCACGATAATATGATAATCGACACACGCTCAAAGAACTGACTAAAAAAACAATTGTTCTTGATCTAACGGTCTACAATCCGTGCATAACTTAAAAAAGGATTTTTATTCGTATAATTGACAGACTCAAAAATATTATTGTACAATAAAAAAAAAATAAATAAAACGTTACGTCAGCGTCCAATTAAGCATCAACACTCATTATTGCCTATACCTATAAAGCACTCCTATCTGATTCGATATAAAACGCAGTGCAACAAATGGGGCCAATCCATTACCAAAACATCTAAAAATATTAGCGCTACAATACATGGCTTTAAATGTTGAAGGTGTTACCTCAGCAAGAATGTCGGTCACATAGTTCAAGAGTAAGTTGACATCTTGCATTTCATTCGCAGTCCTATAGAAAAAAAAAACTATCGGCTAATGCGTGACACACGAATGTACACCAAATAACGCTATTTTTTGGTAAGGTGTATCAGTAATATTTCTTAGCAGTCCCCGCAATTCTGCGGTGGCAATATGCTTACCTACCAAATTTAAAGACCGTTTAGGTTCTACTCTACCTCATTACATGCTAGAACGACTTAGCCGACTATCGGGCCTAAATCCTGAGCATTAAATTTCTTTACCAAAGCAAAAGCAATAGCGGAATCTTGAGGCAGCATGCAGTCGGGTAAAGCTTAATTTTCATTTTATCAGAGCTCGGCTTCCCTAACTGATACAACAGTTACATTACTAGATAAAACACCATGAAGGAAACTTACCGAATATAGTCTATTATCAATAACTGCAGTCAGAGCGTGAAATCACCATCAATTTTGTGCTAATAGCACCCATAGATGGATTCTCATACATATTGACAAATAGCCTTGAAAATTTCGCACCCTCAATTGACCCACCTTGTGTATGTCTTTGACCCTCCCTTTGCAACTTTTAGGCCAGTCATCACGGGATTTACTTTTTGCACACAAACCAAGCTTTGACTCCAAGCAGGGTTTCGTTGTAGCCACACGGCAGAGTACGGAAATTAGCACACAGAGAAAAGCGCGCCAAGTTCAAACCTGTCGACGTTGGCGACGGTGTCGTCGTGGGAAGGCTAATGACGAGGTCAGCTAGAAAAATTATAAAAGGAGGAGGCAACATAACCTATTACCAGGCAACATGGATAATCAATACCTAGAAAAATTCGTCGTAGAGGAACAGTCGACATCTGAAAATAACACTTTGTTGATTCGAATGTAGAAGCATACATTAATGTACGTTGTATGGGAACCCAAACTTATTACGTTAATATTAGGTAAACCTCTCAAACGCAACCTAAAATATTTTCTACGTACACGCCGGAACGGCATTAGTATAACATGGCTTTAAGACTTCCTTTTTTTGTCTATCGAGGCTTTTTATTTGTTCGGAGGTATACTACAGAGCCTAATAGATCCTCTTCAGGCACAGTAATATCAAGCAAGATAGAACACTGCCAGGTACAATTGGACGAAACGATTTATTCATTTTATTAGGAGGCATTTAAGCCTTCAACGGTTTTTTTTTTTATAACAAATCGAAATTACCAACTTCGCACTTGTATAGAAAGCACTATTTTCTCTGATAGATCTTCTATATACTTTTTGCTTTTTAAGGCTTTAAAAACCTTCTGTATCAGGATCAGCTACTTCATATTAGCTTCTCGAAATACGATGTCTGAAAAATTGCCTACTCTCAATCAAGTAACTGAGCTATATAATCAACAACCGATTCGATAAAATTAGCTGGAGCCCCATAGAGTATATTAATAGAGACGAAAACCAATTTTCATATATCAGCGTAGAACAAATTCTGAACTTTAACCAAAGTTCAGAGTGTAAGTCGCGCAATAAAACACCATGTTCATGCCAATTTAAAGTTCTGCCTATGCCATTCTAGAATTCGTTACACAATTAACGCTTTCAGCGTTCATTAGCATCTCAATCCAATTCAAACGACTTATGAAAAAAAAAAAAGAACTCTAAAATAGTAACAAAGTGTTACTTCAAAGCGGGTTATTTACTTGTTTATCCTACTTCAGTTTAGAATTACGGCTGTCTTCAAACGAAGCTTGTGCTCGACTAAAGAGTCTACGATGCGTGCTACTTACAATTCATAAGCTATCTTTATACGTATAACTGCAATGGTTGTGCTGTCGGCCTTTTACACTGCGAAAATTTTCATTTTGTTATGCAACGGTGCGTCGGTCTGATGCGAAACTCTTTTTATAGCCGACTCGCAACGGTTTCAATGAGCTTCTATACCGTTATTTAGTACAGCTTCAAGAATTTGTTGGACCAGTGGGCCTTAATACAAGCAAATCTGTAAGTATTGAGCAGGTAATGTGCCGCCAATTCCATTCCTCTTCAGATTTTCACTGGAGAATGAAAACGTGTCTACGCCCAGATTCGAATCCAGATCACCTCTCAGTCATTTCTCACGTCAGAAGGCCAACACGTTTGGCTTACACTACCTCAGGGATATGACTTCATGCAATCAACACATCATACAGAATAAGTAGCTTTTTTTTTTCTTGTTTCCCACTTTTCATTACCGTTTTACTCATGTTCAATAGTAAGAGATGACTCGTTCATAAAAATTGACGTTGTGCAAGAAGTAGGCTGAAGAAATTTTGTTGTGAGAAGTGCTGCTCTGCCAGCACTCAGTTAAAGACACCATTACATGGGATAATACTACAGTGAACTCAATGGAGTGTTAAGTAAAGCAAAATCATTTACAACCTGTACTTACCTAGAACACGCTGTTTAAAGGTAACCCAGCATTTTCTGAAAAGTGTACATTTTTATCCGTATAAAGTGTATATTGTATAAAAAGATGACTCTACTGACCATTCTATTTGCAACCGATAATACAATTTTACCTGAGGGCATCAATCTGCCGTGAAAATACAAAGTGCGCTTGCAGGGGATGTGGACTACCTGATTCTGGGAATGCTTTTTTCAGTGTCCTGAGTCCTGGTGGAACGCTTACGAAGACCATTGAATATTGGTTCGCGTGAACCTTTTGTTCTGTCATTATAAGTATCATCCCTTAACCTTATGGGTCGTAAGTTTAAGGTAAGGCTACCAGTACAGCCGATCTACTACGCGTTGATCTGCAGGCAATCAATCATGTTTCGTCGTGATCCGTCTTGAGATACTAAGGCGATCCCTTATGTAGCCAGAGCGAAAAACCGGTATAAAAAGTGTGTTTTCTAAAATTCCTTTCGTTCTTTTAAGACTACCGTGTTCTCGAGGCAGTTATGTATTTTAATTATTATCCTATAGTAACACAGTTAAGGAGTTTTTCAGCTTTCATTTACTCAATTGGGTTTTGAAATTTCTCTTACTGGTGAAATTCTCGTCGCGTATCTAAGTCAGCCGGAGATAATGAGGCTAATAATTCGTCAATGTTGAATGTGCTGAGTGAATATTGAGTGAGTCGAAAGCGTTGAAGAACTTCACATATTACATAAGATGATCCTGCGATTTTCGATATGTGTCCTAGCGGTTCTATGAAGTAGGACGACCCCCACTACTTCATTTTTACCCATGCATAATAGATTTGCTATCTTAAACGTTCCTTGAATTGATTTATTCAAAGTATATATTCGTTAAAGATCGTCATGACGACGACTCTTCTTCGGCCACGTATCGTGTTCGGTGCCTTTTCTTTCTTCTTCACACCAGGTTAGTATCGATGAATCGCCAGCGAAGGTCCGTAGGTCCATCAAATGCTGACCAGGCCAACTACCAAAGAAAAGGGTCCTGATGTTGCGGAAGTCCAATTGGGCAGTGTTTATCTTCACCTGTAGACAGTGTCATAAATCACAAACGAGCTAAGTAACGGCCACATCAAACGGGTAAAAAAAAAAACTGAAAATATCGACGCGAATACGACAAGGATGTAAATTTCACAAAATGAGTGAGGGGCAAATGAAAAACTCGCGTGCTAGTCACAAATCTGTTGACATAAGATGTTCCCAAAGTGGGCAAAAAAATAGACGTAAAGAATATCAGGCAAATCATGCAAGTGACTCACTTATAGCATCTCTATGGGCATACATTTATTTATTCGGCATATTCAAGATGTTCCTCCTACAAAACTGCAGATCAAAATCTAGAGTTATTGTGACGTGAAAAGAAAGGCCAGTTGACCCGTTCAGTGAAATGATGTACCTCCTCTTATTTTTCAGTTCGGGATTGCGATTAGTGCCGTCAACCCCTATAAACTGTTTATAATCTATGGACATTGAATAACAAACCTTACTGGACTGTGAAGCAATAACATTCTGCTATGCTAAATTTTTTTGATACCGATGCTTTTTTTTTTGTATAAGATTTTATAACAACGCAACTTACAGGTATAAAGACGACAAAAAATCTCTGATCCTGTATGTTTAATTACTATTGCATTATATCGCTATATAATATACTATTGCATACCGTTCGGTTGAATGCAGTGTTACAGTTGATACTTTGCCAGTCGTCGGGTGGGCAGGTTTCAAGTGTTAGACGTTTTGACGTTAAATCTACGTCTAGGCGAAACCTGATCTTGCTCACGTGGAGTTGCTCGTTTCCACCGATATTCAACGAGCTATTCGAACAGCTGAAATTACCCACGATTTTACCTTCAAGGAGATACTTAGGTAGACGATGTCGAAATCTGTAAAACGAGTTTTTCAAAAGTCAATCTTTTGTTTTCCACTATTGTGCTTGTAGATTGTAATTTATGCTTCGCATTATGATCTGCGTGTGCTAATGACGGTCTCGGTGCGCCTGAGTCTCTACCCAGGATGATCTACTCTTCGTTCAAAGGCACCAAAATATGGCAAATACCCGGAAGCTCTTTGTTTAAAGCGTTGATGAATTTTAGCTACCAAGCAGCCCGTAAACTTCTGAAGTTTAATTACATTTTTCACCCATACCGCTTTAGTTTACTCAGCTGATCTAAATTTGATTAGCACTATGAAAGAGCTCGTAGATTTATATGAAATTGAAAAGACAATGTTTATATGGTATTTATGCGAAAGGGTTGTCTTTACGTGCACAAGTTTAAGTTCATTGTTGTTATTATGATTACTATCATTACTACTAATGCTACAAGATAACAACGCGCCGACACGTAATACTCAACGCACTTAAGATCCGCTATCGTAGAACGACGGTCCCTCTGCTAAATTCGAGATAAAATAGAGAATACTAACGCTGCGACTTCTCTGTGGCCGTCAGGCCCACAAAGTGGCCGAGGTAACATCCAGATAGGTTGAAATCTACGCGTGCAATTCACGTAGTTGAAGACAAATGTCATGTTGGAATCGATAAAATTTAGCATTATACCGAGGTACACCTGCGTGTCTTTGCGCCACTCGAGAAAAACGTGCTCCACCGATAGATTGGCTTCCATCTGCAATAAAATGTAACGGAACGAATCAATGCGAAGACAAATTGCACTAAATAAGTTTCCATAAATAGGGAGAAAGTAGTTCGCCTGTCGCACCCGCTGATACCGCGGACACCGTCACTAAAACCCGCGACATAGGTCGTGTGATAACTCGCGACTAGATGATTGCCCGATATGCGGAATAGGGATATTCGCGCAGAGGTTTAGGTAATAAAAACAAACGTGCTGCTATAAAAATTCACGGAGCACAGAAAATTAAATTACGTTTATAGGGGTAGATAATATATGTTGTGGTCATTGGCGGCGGAAATCTACGATATTGTGTCTTCCCAATTGAATCTATGTAACATTTCATTATCTAAATGTCAGCAGAAATATACCTTGTAATGTATGTTCGAGTTGTTCGCGTATAAAACATCTTTTTTGCGACTCTCCAGGTCCGTGCTCACCGAAAAAGCTAAATGGTCATGTTTTTTTATTTTCGATTTACAAGGAAAAACCGAAATTAAGCGTTCATCTTGAATATGCGACCTCTCTGTAGTACAATTAACAGCCTCCGATGCTGGAGATAGCCCTATCTTGACTTGAACGATACTGGCATTCTTCGCTGATGCCAGCTGTGGCGAATGATTTTCTGTTTGTCGAGACTGAGTGTCGTTTCCAAACACCGTAACTGCCAATGAAATCGTTATGGCCGCTGTTATAACTAGCGTATTGCAACGAACATATATGTTTGCAATGTTGCTGCAAAATAACAAGAAATCATAATCGTGAGACGCATTACATTCGTTCGTTTACTTCACATTGTCTATCTTCAGCAGCAAGCCTTATGGAAGTCAAATATCATAGATATCTGTATCAAGCTAAAGCTAGCGCAGTTCCGACCTTTAGGGGGTTGGAAAGAGTCAATTGAGATTTGGCGAGCTTGCGACCCTCACATTTAGCACCGACGGCACATGCGCGTCGCACATGCCCAGGCTCCCAAGAGCCGCCGGTATATTAAAGCATTATACCAGCGAAGCAAATAAGTTTATGCTGAACAATTAAAGCCCTTTAGTAAATATAATTAGCTGTTTCAGCAATTATATTTAGTTGTTGCCAATGTAGATGCCATGCAACCCGTAAACGGAAATGCCAGTTTTGATGATGAAAAAAAAAAATGATAAAAGATTTTCAATAGTCAAGTTCATCTTCACAATTACCGATACACCTGTATCAGAATATAAATATATATATATATATATAAGAGCTTGTCGAAGCGTTGTCAAAACTTCAGTTCCGAAAATAAACCTATGACCTGTTACCTCATACAGCTTGATATTTCAGGTGTACACCTTGCATAGATGAGCGTGTCGGTTAAAAGCGGACGATTCATTATGAACGATCCTGTGACGTTTGGACGTTTAAGATAATAATGTAGATCTCTACAATTTTGATCGTCTACGAAACTCGAATACAGTGTTTATATTTTGAATATACATCCGTCTCATATACACAGTCGTTCGTGTGTTACTTGAAATCAATCTGTCGTTTTATCTATTTTCTAATTGAACGAGACAACTAAAGCAGAATAATATCGATTCGTAGACAGTCAGCAAGGTGCAAAGCAAGCAAAAAAAGCAATATGACACAATGGTATCCATGCTACTACCGGCCAGAACCCTGCTGTGATCGGCAGTAAAATTGTGTAATGCGTATCCTGCCTATTCTTTCAGTGAGTCTTTGTATCGCTCATCGTCAAAACTCGCGGAACTGGGAAAATACCAATTTCCTTCGATGAGAAACTTCAATTTACAGGTTTTTTCTGGAATACAACGCGATGCTTTGTGTATATACACGAATTAGTTTTTCGACAAACGATTTATTGCCAACCTATGCTTAGAAATTATGAGTAATACAAAACGATTATCAAAGTTCGGGGAGGCAGAGCTACTACCTGCGGTTACGCATTTTCTTTAAAATTCATTATTCTCAACTTACCCATTTTTGTTCATTTCCTTACACAATCTCGGCTGGTTTGCCTTGAGAAAGTAAATTGTATTTATCAGAACTCAATATCACTGAAAAGAATTTTCAAAATACTCTGGAGTTTCGTTATAATAGCGGATCAGGTGCCGAATCAGCGACAACCGAAAGGCGCGAATTTTAAATAATCGTGTAGATTAAAATTACACCAAACATAAGGTTAGGCCATAGTTTTATCGCGTCCGTATATTCCAACGGCAGCGGGGAGAATCCCCGTATGAAACATTTCGAAGTCCGCAGAAAGTACCGATTGCCGGCTCGTAACAAGTTCTCTGGAGGCATTACACTCGGAGCCACAAAGTGCCTTTCACTTACGTCTTTAGAGGCAATTGTAAGTAAACTAAAGCAATTCGTTAGTGGGGAGGCGGCGTCTCAAGCCATGGATACGGAAGTTCCGGACGTAAAATTCTGAATACTTAGTCTAAGTTCAATCTCCACCATAGATGCATCAGCATATGTTTCAAATATTACATATATCTGCAGTAATTGTATATAGGTAACGTTAGTGCTTAGAGATTCGATAGTGCTTGAACTCGAGAACTAATGGAAACACCGAAAATGTCTTAAAAACCTCAATGAAGATTTCTGCCGTGAGCTCGCCGCCAGTGTGAAATGAGCTGTGTAATTCGCTTATTATATGCCCAATAGAAATCATCAGGCGAATGCCATGTGTTAAATTATACAGATATTTAAAGGTTCAATACCAGGTTTCGATGACACAACTCCTGTATAGTTTACGCCGGACCTGAATAGCCTACTACTAGATAAAAATGGGGCATTCTGACCCCAACGCCAATCATACAGGTTCCAGCAAAGGGTCAACTTTTCTGCATGGTTTACCAGGCATTACGTTGGACGAATCCTGTTGGATATATCTAGGCTTTTCTCCAAGAAATCTGTGAATCGGCAAGGTAACAATGTACCACAGAAACCATTTACCAACGCTGATATTTGAACCAGCAGTGGTCACATATTCATGGGTATGCCAACGAACTTCCGAATAATGTCTCCCCTTTTCTGCATGTGGCGTCATCACTCATAAGATGATCGTTATACCTAATTCAACTGGGATGAATTGTTCGAGATTGATACAGATGCCTACGCAAAGGCCAAATTCAATAGTTATCTCTACCACGCGCGTATTTTTAAGACAACCAGCTAAAATATAAGTCGACATTTCTTACGAAATCCCTTATCTGATTGTTCGAGTTTTAACGTGGATCTAACCAAAAAAGGGACCCGTTTAAGAACACATTCATATTCTTTCTTTTCAACAATTAATGTAACGGCACGCACTGCATTATCAGGTTGCAACAACATTGCAGCCTGATAATATGTCAGACTATAGACTATTAAAAGGGGCATATTAAACTAATAATAAAATAATAATATGAAAATAAATACTACGTTCGGGCGTTACCAGGCTCTTTTGTTAAAAAAAAAGATAGGTAGTATGATCGTTCAATACATATGGGTAGTTCTAGTAATTTTTTTATACGATTTTTTCTACCAGATTTTTTCTTTTTCGAGAAAAATATCTCAATACATATAAGCTTATTTTCACCTTTTACATATATGTCTATAACAAATCGGCTGGAAATTTCAGTACAATTAACTACGCCGCCTAACGCTAACTTTCTTAGACCATAACCTAACAGCTTCACGGGTGAACTCAGTCCTAATACATGTGTTTACTCAGTGTAAACGAACGATGTTCGGAGGGGATTTTTTGGATCAGCATTGCGAGCGGTCTTCACCTTCGCTTTTTTATTTCTATTTTTATTCGCTTTAACCCGTACTTTTACTGGGCACGATCTATTACCTACAACACAACCTTTGTTTTTTTTGTAAAGGCGGAACATTTTTTACGCAAGCATAGACGGAAATGAGGCTGCTCGCAGCGTGGTTTCAGAATTTCCACTTGCGTTTCTACTAGTGGTTTAATACATCCAAGATATTACGATATCCCATTACGGCTAAACCCAGGCTTTAGTCAATTACACCCCCACTGTCTACCCCACATAGACCGGTAGACCTCTAGTACTACTTCGGATTAACACCTGGCACGGCGGAAGTCGTCGATCACAACTGTCATTACCCGATTGTAGCTAAGCAGCCCTTGCCTAACAGTCGATACAGCGTACCATTATAATCCTATATATAAAGAAGGACAGTGCCACGCTTTGTTTTCGATTGTTCCCGAGTTATTCCATCTAAAACGCTACACATGATTGTATGAGATCACAATTTAGCGATTATGATAATAACTACCAAGTTAGATATTCGCTATTTAATTCCTAATTTGAAGTTTTTTAGGTGGTAACTAATAAACTAGGATATATATATATACATATATATATATATATATATATATAGTAGAAATGCTCCAAGTTTCACCTGTGGAACCTCCATTAAGCACTATATCTTAATATAGTGCTTATAAACTTATAACCATGGTATTATATACGTTCTTAAACGAACGCCATCGATTTTGTTTCAGCCAAGTCTACATCGCATCACAAATACTAATCGAAAGAAATAAAAAATGTTCCGATTTAGCGTTTTCAGACTATCCGTTACATGCCTAAATTTTATCATAGGCTTGTATACTGTGCTTACGGAATGTTGTTATTGGCATCCCATGCTGCAGCGGACGAAATATTAAAAGTATTAGCTATGAGTTACTTAGTTAATCTGACTTGAGTCCTATATTACTTTAGAAACTACATTTAGCCTGCACGTAGAAGCGAAAAAGCAGCGATAGCAAGCCCCTCATGTTTGATTCGGCCTCGTTTGAAGACCTTTTGTTGATTTCGAAAGTTTTGCAGACTTCAAAGGGCCAGTGAGCCGAACATGCCTTTTGTAACCATGTATTAAATCTAGCTTTAGTCCTTGAGGAGGGTGTTATCCTACTTCTTGCGATAGGTGACTAAAACATAGAACATTATTCGTAGCTTTCTTGTATTTTCTCACCTTTCAGACACGTAAAACAATAAATATAATTTTAATTAGTTTATTTTTGCTGCAGAAACACTTGTTGGATTCCTTTTAAGTCACTCCGGCAAAAGTGTATTTAAACATGCTTATAGATATCATGTGGTTTAACAATGACAGAGCGAGAATCGTTTATTGAATTGAAATACTGTCTTTTCTACTTCTCCTGCCCTGGTATTATGTCACTGCTGCTAATATGGTTGCCTGCTGGACAGAAGGATACATCAGGTGATCCAAAGCTTGATGTATAGACACTTCATACCCTGTTGGGGGTTAGGTGTCTAAAGCAATGAGTAATGCCAGCACCGGACCTAAATTTGGGATGTTTCGTTAAATTATATCAGCTTATATTGTAACAAATAATAATGCGAAGATGTCAAACTATCATAGTGGCTCAGTAAATCACAGTTAAATTTCAACAGACATTAGATTTAATGGCATGTCCCGTTCTTACATATGTAACTACACAAAAAAATCCTACCTGCTCTCAAGTCAAAACAAAGGCTTTCGGATTTCTCAGTCTTCAAGTCAAGCTGCTCCGATCCTGAGCAGTGAACTAGCTCCTACCATGTGACGAGAGCGATACGCGTTAACTCAATACGGGCCATCCGTTAGATAGGATTATCATGCTGATGAGCGATTTCACAAAGAGCTAAAACGAATACAGCAGAAGGGGAAAACTTAATGGTAAGCCCCACAGTGCCATAGCCGACGCATCGCTAGTGCCTCAACGAGAAGCTCTATAATGAGGTCATCAAGCAGTGAAACATCGACTATGAAGAACAGCGAGATAATCGACCGCAGGAAAAATCAGCTTTGCTGCAGATCTTTTGGGTCTTTTCAGATATAAGTGAAAAAGAGTTAGGCGCATGCATCAGACATACATACAATGGCTCATGTTTACTGTAACTACGTGTAGGTACTCCTACCACCAATAACGAATTCGTCATATTTACACTACAGAGTAACTCAATTTAACAAAAAAAAACCTTTGCTTAGAAATTAGAAAATTTCTTTCGAATTGAAATTATGCAATTTTTTAAAACACGTGTCGCTTTGGCAGAGCAGATGAAAAATTTTAGCGTCTGACAGATTATCATAATGTTAAATTATTTTCAGATGTGTTTCTCAGATGCTGTTCATCAAATGCTACAATTTCTTAAGTCGTTTAATTTTGGCGCGCTCTTTGTCTGAGTTGTTCTGTGCGGGTTACACCGCCTAAGTTTTTACCGGAGCTTATTTATAACAGATTTCTGCGCGAACCGATCATTCGCGCAAAAACTGCATATCAAACACTATTCTTTTCATAATTTCTCTACGTAAAAGTCGAAAGGTAGGAAAAGATAAAAATTGAAGGCTAAAAAAATATCCTGAAACTCTATAAAACAACGAAGTTTCACAGAAAGTAGATAACAATGAATTAATTGCAGGCTCGATCGCTAGATCACAGAGTTATTCGGATCAATGTATAGCAAATAGATCTAGATCACTTAATAAGCACAATAATAATGGTGTCCCATTGGTTCAGTAGAAGTGCAATTGCTAGCTGCACTATATATGAGAGGGTTGAATGTGACAAAATACGTAAAGAGGGATTGCCGTTGGTTTTTCCTATACCTTACGTCAGGCTGGCATAAATATCAGTAAATGAATATTGTCAAATCGGTAAAACAAAACGGCGACAGGCAAAAGCCACAGCTTCGTCTAATCTCTTCGTAAAATTCGCACCATATAATATGAATTAAGGCAAAACGAGTAGGTCGACCTTATTTTGGCCAAAGAACAATACGCAGCATATATCAATGTGCGCATGGTGTAAGCTGGATGTGTATAAACGCATAACGTACAACTGTACAGATAGATCAAACGGTGAATTTTTACTATCGTGGTATTATATCCGCTTTACCGTACGCAATGGAAGGAAAATATCTTCTGTAGAAAACAGTGCTACCGTATTCAACACGAACAGGATTAGAGCGATATCCTGTGAGCGGCTTAGGCAGGAGTGTGGATATATAAAACATTATAGAATAAATATACGGTATAGCGAAGGCACACGGCGCAATCCTGACACCACAGATATATGTGCCAGACTACTTT